AATTTGTCCATAGATGGCCCTAGCTGTCAATGTAGTTACCGTCAAACCGCGTCATTGGCGCCATTTCCATTTGTTGACATCTGACAAAGATTTTTAACTCACAACAATACAAGTTTCATACAACAGCATAGTTTGTAATAGCGTTGAACATGTCGAATTTTGTGCCTGGAAGCTACGATTTGCGGACAGCATTGATTTTCTGTTACCATTTGAAGAAAACTGCTGCAGAATCGCATCGAATGCTTGTCGAAGCTTACAGTGAACATGCTCTTGGTAAATCACAGTGCTTTGAGTGGTTTAAAAAATTCAAACGTGGCGATTTTGACGTGAGAAACGAAGAACGTGAAAGACCACCGAAAAATTTTGAAGACAGCGAATTGCTGCAAGCATTGTTGGATGAGGATGACGTTCAAACGCAACAACAACTCGCGGATCAATTAAATGTGACACGAGAAGCCGTCTCCATACGTTTGAAAGCCATGAGAAAGATCCAGAAGATGGGGAAATGGGTTCCACATGAACTGAATGAAAGACAGCAGGAAAACCGAAAAACCACTTGCGAAATGCTGCTCGCCAGGTACAAAAGAAAGTCATTTCTCTATCGAATTGTGACTGGCGATGAAAAGTGGATATATTTTGAGAATCCTAAGCGTAAAAGATCATGGGTAACTCCAGGCGAACCATCGACATCGACTGTAAGGCTAAATCGCTATGGACGGAAGACAATGCTCTGTGTTTGGTGGGACCAGAAGGATGTGATTTATTATGAGCCACTAAAACCTGGCCAAACCGTTAATACTGAACGCTACCGACAACAAATGATCGATTTGAATCAAGCTTTGCGTAAAAAACGACCAGAATATCAAAAAAGGCAACACAAAGTGATTTTGCTTCATGATAATGCCACCATCACACACAGCAAAACTGGTCAAGGAAACAATTGAGGCGTTTAGTTGGGAAATACTTTCGCATGCAGCTTACTCACCAGACTTGACTCCGTCCGATTACTACTTATTTGCATCGATGGGACACGCACTTGCTGAGCAGCGCTTCACTTCTTACGAGAATGTACGAAAATGGCTCGATGACTGGTTTGCCTCAAAAGAGCAACAGTTTTTTTGGCGTGGCATCCACAAATTGCCAGACAGGTGGAAAAAATGTATAGCTAGCGATGAGCAATACTTCGAATAAAATATTTTTTATCATTTTCATACAATAAACGTGTATTTTCTATACAAAAATTCCGGTTTCATATGTACATACCTGGTATTCTCCGGACACTGCTCCTTCTGATTACTGATTGTTCCGAAGGATGCAGCACGATTTGGCAGGTCACCGGTTCACTTCTCTCGTAGAAATCGAAAATTGGCTCCAAACTTGGATCGCCTCAAAAGACGAGTCATTTTTTCGAGATGGAATTCGAAAATTGCCTGAGAAATGGGAGAAAGTAGTAGCCAGCGATGGAAAATACTTTAATTGATCTGTTCGTTCATTTTGTTTTGAAATAAATACATTTTTTAACACAAAAAAATGGACCGAACTAATTTGTATTCCCAATATATATATATATAATTTATAATTTAGCAATACATGTAACATGATTCAACATTATATTATTGTTTTTACTACTTTTTTCAAATAGTTTACTTATTATATTTACTTGTTATATATATTTTGTTATATTTTAATTTTGTGCAACAAAAAACTAATAAAAATAATATGTAATTATATCCTATTTTAATGTAATTAAATACAAATGTATACATTGATAAATATCTTTATGTGTATTGTAATATATTTTTATAATATAATATTAACGTATATATATTATAATCCTCCCAATAATATTGTTTGCACAAATTAATAACAAAATGATAAGTTTCTGAGTGATGTTATTAAGTTTAACTGTTATTTACTGTACTTAAAATTACAAATGAAAACTATTTTAAATCTGTGAAATATTTTTTACGTAGTCTTAAGTAACGTAAATAATATTTAAACTTTACAATATCGCTCAGGAACTTATAAATTTAATTTTAATATCTATAAGTATGTACCACGCGCGCGCGGTATGATTTAAATATGGCGGCAACCTCCCCACCACTCGTTCCTTAGTTCGTTAATTCCGGGCTAGTGCTCCAGGTGGCGCTGAAAATAATATCCCCTTCTCACAAGAGGCGAGTTTGAATCCCTTGAGATTTGCTCGGATCATCCTTATTTCGAAACTAGATTAACGTTTTATTACAAATAATTATCACGAATAATTAACTTATAGTTGATGACCCTTCATTTTCACGTTGATTTCGGAAAAAATGAAAAAAAATTGAATATAAAAATTATAAAAATGGCCACCCCTATTAGCGTCATTTTGTGTCTGTTGCCGCACCAGATTGTTTAGAGGCAGTGACGCACGGATGCCGGAACACCCTTATCAGAAGGATCGGAGTTAGAGATGATAGTAGACTCGGATTTCGTGCGGTCTTTTCGGGTCGTAAATCCGAACCGCCTGAGAAACCCGAACAACACTCGTAATAAATATGTCTACGAGCACGAATGTGAAACGACCTCCGTCATTTCGGAAGGCCTGCCCTTTCGGACTCAACGGCCAGCAAAATGCCACGGTTCGAAGAACTGTGGCGAAGCACACGAAAGTGCTGAGCTCTGTCATGCTGAAGGCGACTGAGTCGCTCCTGGCGACTAGCCAATGTCCTGCGGATGTTTGGAACGAAAGCTCAGAGTTCTCAAAGAAGCGATCACGTTGCTTCTGAAATCGCCAAGATTCTTGACGGATACTTGGAAAGAGAGAGTTCGCAAACTCCAAAGGAGACGGTCACGCCGCTCCTGATAGCCAAGATCCTCGACGGACACTTGGAAAGAGAGAGTTCACCCGTTCCACACAGAGGCAACCAAAGCCCGTTCCTGAAGCGTGGCAACGCAGAGAACTCAAATCTGAACAGTCGATTCTAACCATAAAACCTCAACCCAACAGGGTATATCCGGCACCGCCTTCAACTCAGCAGGGTGTATATTGTGGTGGTTCGAATCTAAACTAAAGCTGATGATTGGGACCGGGTAATGAATTATCCGGGTACCCGAGTACCCGCTCACTATCTGAAATATGTTGAAAATACCCGGGTACCCGCTCGTATTACCCGTACTTTTATTATTCGTGTTTAAATTATTTGTCTACTTCATGTCAAACTTCTGACGGTCTCCATGACATATATTAATTTAATATCGTTATCAGATATAACCTGCATTTAATAACTGCGTTTGCTATTATGTCGCGTCCAAAAAGTTGGGTATGGAAATATGCTGTTCCGTCAGAAGATAGAATGCAGGCGAAATGTAAAGTGTGTGGCCTCACTCTAAATTACGTATATTTCGTAACGACTTCGTTTTATGGATGTGATTATCCATTCTTTGAGTCCGATTGCATCATTTCTTCTGACAATCTTTTATTACATAGACACTCGAGTAATACGGATAATATGGATATTCAAATAATATAGATGATGCGAGTAATACGGATAATACGAGTAATATGGATAATACGGGTTATACCCGCGGTATTTCCCGTGAATTTCGAATAGTGAGAAGGTACAACACTCGGGTATTTCATCAGCTCTAATCTAAACTACAACGTCAAAACTGCACTAAGAGAAAGCCTAGACCACAGGTCGGTAAAGATGGGCGACACAAAAGTCGCACAGACCTGACACCAGAAATTGCCACAATCGGCGTTAGGCCATGCAAAGGCGCGTGGCTCACTATTGCGCTCAGTTATATCACTCGGGCGGCTGAATTTTAACTGCGAGCAGCGATAACGGTGAGGGTGTGGCGTAGCGGCCGCGAACGGCACTAGTGGATACGCGCGGGGCGCCAGCGGGAGCACCGCGTGCTCGCCTGCGAGAAACCAACGGGAGCCAGGCCGTCCGTCACGCAGCACCGGATCAACGACTCCAACAGCATGCAGGCCGCGGCAACGCGACTGAACGTCGCGCACACATTTCCGAACAGTGTCATTGCTACTAAAAGTTTTCCGCGCGGTCTCGAAATATTTCTTCCCGAATTACGGGCAGTGCATTGCGTGAAAGATGAGAAGGCGAAGGGGCAAGACGAGAGAGATTTTGGCTTAGCGATAAAATTTACCACTGACTCGCCTCATGCCTTTTCCTGCCGCGCTCATCGGTAGTCATCGGGTCAACAAAGACGGAGAATAATTGATCTTGTCTGTGCTTGTTCTAAGGGGGAGTTAAGTGAGCAAGAACCGTGCACGCTTTGCCGTTACCGTCAGGACGGATATAGTGTGCACACATTTTCGCAGGTGACGCGTCGGAATTCGGCAGAAAAAGCATCCCGGTCCCGGCGGTCCGGTGGCCGCTCTCAGGTTTCTCTCTGATGACTAGAAATCTGCTCTTTTTCGAAGAATTATCTGAACTATTGCATACTAGTGCAATAAAAATTTGAATGAAAGAACCATCTATTTCTCTCCAACTTATTATGCTAGTTCAAAAATCCTTCGAAAAACAATAAACCTTAAGAGAGTCTATTCGTTTATAAGTTCTCTTTTATGTTTTTCTCTTTCTCTCTCTAAAGTTGAGTTACATATTTATCGCATTTTAAGAGTAAAAAAGTATAATTAGAAAGGCGTTCTAAATTCATTTTCGCGATTTTTTCGCGTATTTTAAAAATTAAAATATAGTAACGTTTTGAATCAAGCATATTTTACTAATATACATTTTGAAAGAAAACAAAAAAGTGATTTATATCATAATTTATGTTTACAGAAACACACATTAAACATGATAATCTTGAACTCATATAAGAATACAAATTTAGGGCTATAGTGACATTGCTCATATTGTTAAATACAAATTTAAAAATCCCGTTGTTTAAAAATCACTAGTAAAGGATGAATCCTTTATATATAACCATAATTGATCTTTATTATTCAATAACATTTTTTTAACAAATTGTACAGTTTCATATGTATAATTATATATAATGTATATAGTATGGATAAAGTAATAATAGAGAATCAATATATACTATATGTGACAATAATTGAAATATAATAAAAATCTGAGACTTCTTTCATGAATTAAGTATGTCTAATTAGAATATATTGAATAGAATCCTTCGCTGCTCGTAGAAAACTTTGAACGAATCGGCAGTACTTCCAAAATTATAAGCGCCTCTTCTTCCTTTTTTCTTGTATTTAATATAAGACCGTTTCTTGTTATCATTCTCAATCATCGTAGCAAACGAGCAACTTATCCTATTCAACAGCACAGAATATATTTCTTCTTTCACATTACACGATAGATAATGGCCTTATTATCGTTATTAAAAAATGCATCTCATCATTTTTTATGTGAGGAATGTTTATGCCACTGCTCGTGCCTCCGGTAAAAAGCTTTCCCAATACTTGATAAGTAGATTCTGATGCTGTAGCATCGACTCCAAATATTCGATTAGTTGCTTCTTAAAGTCTTGCACCCTAACCAACTCGAAGCGTTCTACCTCTTCCTTTATCATCTTCGAGATATTGTCAAATTCTTCCTGGCCTCTGTCCACCTTCGCTTCCCACTCTATGACCTCGGTAGCTGCTTGACTCGTCTTGTCCGTTCGTCCAGATTGTTCGAGTCTTGCTTTCTGTTCGCGTTTTTTATTTAGCATCAATTGAGCATGCTGCCAATTTTGAAAAACTTTTACTCTCTCGTGGAAAACATCCTGTAACACATCGGTCGAATAAAAAATATGTAATGAACTATTAAGTTTATACAGGGTTCTCAAAAAGTCTTCGAACGATAAAATATCTCGAAAACAATCAGTTTTTGGAAAAAATGTTTCAGGCAAAAGTTGTAAGGTTTAAAATGATATATTTACTGATCTTATCAGTTTGACCTTGGCTAGCGTCAACAAGGTCAGGGCAAAGTCACCTTGAACTTTTCAAATAGAACGCCCTACTTTTTTTGGCATATTCTTATAACGTATTTCAAGAGCTTTCCAAAACACTACAACAAAGTATTTTTTTGTTAAGTACATCCCGAGTTATGAAGCTTCAAAGTTACAGTACCGTCAGTATTAGCATTACCCAAGGTGTACCGCGTGGAGGTTGCACGATCGGATTTACACCTCTTGTGTGTGTATGTGTGTGTATGTGTGCGCGCGCGCACGCGCGTGTATATGTGTGTGTGCGCATGTGCGTGTGTGTGTGTGCGTATTCGCATACACACACATACGAGGTGTAAATCCGATCGTGCAACCTCCACGCGGTACACCTTAGGTAGTCAATGCTAAAGCCGACGGTACTGTAACTTTGAAGCTTCATAACTCGGGATGTACTTAACAAAAAAATACTTTGTTGTAGTGTTTTGGAAAGCTCTTGAAATACGTTATAAGAATATGCCAAAAAAAGTAGGGCGTTCCATTTGAAAAGTTCAAGGTGACTTTGCCCTGACCTTGTTGACGCTAGCCAAGGTCGAACTGATAAGATCAGTAAATAGATCATTTTAAACCTTACAACTTTTGCCTGAAACATTTTTTCCAAAAACTGATTGTTTTTGAGATATTTTATCGTTCGAAGACTTTTCGAGAACCCTGTATACATATAAGTATATAATAGTAAATATTCACTTTAATTGCACCGATGAGTGCAACATAATCTCTCAGCATCTCTCCCAATTGATAAAGATCACTGTTGCTTTGTGTTTTTCTGATGGCTTCCACCTTTTCTAATGTTTCCGCCAACTGCGCTAATGCTCTGCCAAGGGACGCACCTGGTTCGCCGTGACCGAGAACGGCAATCGACTTTGCTGTAGCACCAGTGCAATTTGCCAATTCTCTTCTTTGATTTGTTAAGGAGTCCACTGCGGAGTGCAAAGCGCGTAACTGGATATCAAGAGAATCTATCTGCGATGTTTTTTCTTCAAACCACTGCAAAGCAATTTAGAGATTTGCGTTTATTTAGTTTGTTATTTTTCAAGCAAAATGTGAAACTGACAATTACAAAAATATTGTTGTTATACATATATTTATGCAAATTACTTCAAGTCGTATATATTCGACAATATTTATACACAGTAGTAACCATATTACGTGATTTGTATTACTGGAACTTCGCAAGCAGTAATATATGGATGAAAATAAAACACTAGTAAATAATTTAAACCGACGCAATTATCTTTGATTCTAGATGAACGTACCTTACCCTCCTATTGCAAGCAACAAAAAATCATTTCACAATACTTCATAGAAAATACATGCAAGTAAATATAAAATAGACCTCATGTCACGTTAAAGAACTCTCACCATATCGCTCTCATCCATTTTATATGTTATCTTGTTAACCGTTTCTCCAACTTTATTGAAAAGCCGCATTACTCCTTTGCCGCTCAATGCGGATGTATTGGTAGCTTTAGGCAATTCTACATCTATTTTTATGTGAAAAGACAAATTGTATTAAAATCGTACAGAACAAAATATATTTATTGCGATTACAGTCCGAAGCGCAATCAATGTACAAAATAGCCGATTTCAGATTCTGCGTGGCCGTAATACTATACTCACCAGCTTCTAGAAATTCTCTGAAATCAGGATCGATACTCAACACTGGATGTGCAGCTGTTCTGTTGAGATATCTTTCGAGAGCTGCTCTACGTCGTTCGATAAACTCAGTGGAACTCGAATTTTGCTCTTGACTTTTATCTCCGGACATCTTAATTTTCGTCGTTCCTGTAAATGTAATTCACGCAATTTTTTCACGACTTTTCTACAACAATAAACATCTATTCAATGAACTATGAAGAGAGAAAGAGTATTATATTCCTACCAATAACACTTTTCTCCGGAGCTGGTGGAATTATCCTGCCGTTCCTGAGATATTTCTCAGTTAATTTATCATGGAGCCCTAGGAAATCGCTGAAACGCCTGATCACGCTAAAATGCCTTTTCTTAAATATAAGCATATTTGTTCTAGTCTCAACTTTATATGCAACGTAGGCACCCATTCCGTCGCCTATCTTTTGAGGGGAAGTAACTGTGATCTTCAAGAAAACTTCCGATGTGTCTGTTGGAACCTACATACATACATTCAAGTATTTATATGTTGTGTGTGTGTGTATATGTGTGTTATGTGTGCATATGTGTGTGTGTGTGTGTGCGTGCGTGCGTGTGTGTGTGCGTGTGTGTGTGCGTGTGCGTGTGTGTGTGTGTGTGTGTGTGCGCGCGCGCGCGCGCGTGTACGTATGCGTGCGAAAAATATATAATTATGATTTTATTATTATAAGATATGTAATATATACCTCTTCTAAAGAGCGGGATTGCATAACACTTGAGGATAGCATATCTGCATTATCGTTGATAGGAACATCATGCAGATCACCGATATCTGTATTCATGGGTCCTAGTGGAGGACTCAAAGGACCAGGCACTGGACTAGATACGGAAGAAAACGAATTGTCTTCTGGAGCATCTCGCAATGACAGTTTTGGTAATTCCGCTTGAATCTTAGGTACTCCATTATAAGGCGAACTATTCTCCAATTGGTTTTGTTCCTGTGAATATGAAAACATTATTAGTTAATTGTAAATTAGCAAACTTATATTGTAGCATTATACTATGTAGAGATGAGGATATCATGTTTATAAGATAATATTGCAAAATATATTGTTTGATCATACATTAATATTATGATCATAATTAATATCAAAGAGAAATATGCAAAGTTGTTTTTTACAAAGATGATGTGTGATGATGAAATAATAACCAGAAAAAAAAACAATCATTATAAAAACTTCCACTGTAAAAACTTTCTGAATGCAACAGATGCTTTATCTGCATTGATGATACATACTTTTTTGTAAATATAGTTTTTCTCTCACAAAAGTCATACATATCTTAATACATCATGCCTGTTGATTTAAAGGCTTGCCGATAGACATGATTATTCATAGAATTATGCAGGATACAGATATAAGATAATATCTCAGATAGATTATAAGATCTTCATATATTACCCAATCTTTATATACTATCTCATATCTGTCCTGTCTTATACAGGGTGTTTAAAAAGAAGGCATTTAAGAGCATTTAAAAAGAACTTTAAGGGCAGATAGTACTCAGAAAATGGAGGAAAAAGTCCTAATAAACATGGGTCAAAAAATTAATATTGTTAGAGTTATGAACAATTATTTACCTTAATTAAAGCAAATAATTTATTTGCTTCTGATGCATGGCCATACATGAAATCTATTTCTGCCAGTTCTTGATTAGAATAATATAATGCTATTTTTACTATATTGTGAAAACATTATGATAACTCTCTGCAACTGTTCACTGTTCACGAAGATATGTGACTAACAATTGTTTGGTGAAGCATATATATAAATTGGAAGAAAATAGATATTTGTTTATATTCTAAGCAAGAACAAAGAGACTTTTTTTTAGGGATTCTTTTAAAACATACTCTTCTTCGATAAATGACACAGACAAATTATATCAGAAAAAAGTATCAGAAGCAAAAAATAAGTCACTTGCTTCAATTAACACATTGACTGTCATGGAATTTTTCACGATTCTGGTCTAAAGAACCAATTTGATTTAATCATGTTATATTATTAAAAACTTTAATAATAGTACATAATAATAATCAAAAAGCTTAAAAAATGTTTTTTTAAAAAAACATTTTTTATTCTTTTTCCTGAGGCCATCTATTCATATTTACACTGTTATGCTACGAGTTTCCTCGTAGCTGTACAAATATGGCAAGTAATGAAGGGACAAGATAACTCGTAGTAGGCGTTCTGGGCAAGTAAACAACCTACGAGATATCTCGTAGTTGGCAGTCAACGTGTTAAAATAAATAATTGTTCATAACTTTGATAATATTAATTTTCCAACCCATATTTATTAAGATATTTTTCCTCTATTTTATGAGTACTATCTGCTCGTAAAGTAGTCTTGAACTTTTTTTCTAAATACCCTGTACATGCATATACAGGCACAATATATTATAAATCATAATATAGCATCATCAGCTGTAAGTATAATGTAAATTATGTATCAATAAATTTATCTATTTTTTTATCTATATGAAATTTATCTATATGAAACTATATGAATATTATCTATATGAATATTATCTATATGAATATTACCTATATGAATATTATCTATATGAAACCTGTTTAAATAAAATCTGCGTAATTAATGATATGACTGCCAGTTTAATATTCATTAGAAGATTAGGCTAAATATAAAAATTGGGAATCCAGAAGGAGCAACCAAAGAGAACCAAGAGATTTATTGAAAAATCAAGTAAAGTAAGACTTCAAGCTGGGATCAATATTGCTGAAAATACGGTAATGTAGTTTACTTTTTAAGAAAGACCCCAAATGTGTTCTCTGAACTATCGCTAAATGAACTCTTGTCTTTCTCCAATTCAATGTATCCCTCTGGTAGTATGAGCTATTTGAAACATACTTCGATTAGGGATCGTGAATGCCATGATACCAATGAGTTCACTTTTACATGATTACGAAAGAAACTTTTATAATTGCTGTGTTTCTAACGTTGAGCGTAAACATACAAAATCATCATGTCGCATGTCTGCGGTTTCGAGGTCGCAGTGTTCGTCGAAGTTACAATAGTCCCTTCCCGATTTCTCAAATTTTCGCGCGATACCTGCACTGCGGACGCAAAGATATCCTCGTCGTCGTCCTCCAGGTCGTCCAGTTTTGTCTCGTTAGTATCGAACAGCGGCGGCGATTCCGTCATATCAGCCATCTTAACAATTCTGTCAAGTCCGAACAAGACGAAAGTTGCGCTCGTTGTTCCACCGGGATCGGCCCCCTTGACGACGATAACGCCAACAATTGTTATCGACAGAGAGAAACCTGAGAGCGGCCACCGGGTCGGTTACGCCGCGACGCTTTTTCCGACGCGCCCCCTGAGAAAATGTGTGCACATTACACCCGTCCTGACGATAACGGCAAAGCGTGCACGGTTCTTGTGTTCACTCTACTTTCTTAAGGAAGACAATAAGTTAGAAAAGCACAGACGATCAATCGCTCTCCGTCTTTGTTGCACCACCGATGAGCGAGCGCGCGCCAGGAGGAGGCACGAGGCGAGTAAAGGTCATTTTACAATGAGGTTGTAGTAGTATGCAGTAGGCAAATTGACCAATCACGATCGATTGTTCTCTTTACGATCGAAGAATAATCAACTGTGATTGGTCAATTTGCCTACTGCATACTACTACACCTCATTGTAGAATGACTTTAGCGGCAGATCTTATCGCTAAGCTAGACTCTCTCCCGTCTGGCGTCTTCACCTCCTCATCTTTCATGCAACACACTACCCGTAATTCGGGAAGAAATATTTCGAGACCGCGCGGACAATTTCTAGCAATGATACAAAATGAGTGTGAAGTTGGCCCCCCGACCACCAAGAATTTAATTTTGACCATTCCCATTCGTTTGATGGTCGTTCGGTAGCGTTTAGTAGTCCATTCCTAACGTTTGGAAGTCAAAAATGCAATAGTTCTCGCAAAAAATAAAAATTGTATGTGAAATTGGCCTCCCCGTCTCGAAAATCGGTTTCCACGGTGTCCTGAATAATTTTGACAATTACCAATCGTTTGGTGGTCGCTTGGTAGCGTTTGATAGTCCATAGTTTAGCGATAACATCTGTCACTGACTCGCCTCGTGCCTCCTCCTGCCGCGCGCTCGCTCATCGGTGGTGCGACAAAGACGGAGAGCGATTGATCGTCTATGCTTTTCTAACTTATTGTCTTCCTTAAGGAAGTAGAGTAAACACAAGAACCGTACATGCTTTGCCGTTATCGTCAGGACGGGCGTAATATGCACACATTTTCTCAGGAGGCGCGTCGGAAAAAGCATCCCGGTGTAACCGGCCCGGTGGCCATTCTCAAGTTTCTTTCTGTTATCGGTGATCGGTGATCGATGATCGGTGAAAGTTGGCCTCTGACGGCCGAAGCGCGCGCGAAATGTAAACACTGTCCGCTAAATTGTCATAACGCGTATCGAAACGGCAGACTGTAGGCCCGTTTATTTTAATTGCGCCGTCTCGCGTTTTCTACACTTAAAGCGAGACGAGTGCGCACTGAGATCCGGAGAAAAAAGAAAAAAGAGGAGGGAAGACAAGGAAAAGTACAGAAAGTGCAACTAACAGAAACCCTCTCTCTCGCCCTTCGATCTGTCAAATTTCGAGTACGGGGCATCACCGAACGAATGTCCTTTCTCAACCACGATAAGACTATCTTTGTTCAGGGAGATTATCGCTTACGGTAATTTCCCAATGATTAACGTCGCGTATCTCTGCTGGTTAACAGGAAGCTAAAAGAGTAGGGAAATACAAGAACGCGCGTAATGCACGAGGAAATCAGGAAGCAGAAGACACGTCGCGAAGTCGATTTCTATCATACCGATCGTAGGAAATATCCAGGTGATGTCAATGCGCGTACACGTGTATATGCGCGATGTGATATATACTCGTCCCGGGAGATTTTATTTCCTTTAAAATATGCACATACGTACGTACGTGACTGTCGGGACAGCAAGGTTGACAATTGAGAAATATCATAACGTTCAATATTTGCCGAAGAACAGCGTGCAGCATTAACATATGTGTGTACAGCTGCATGGTAGATTAGTAGCATTTTTCTTTTCAAAGGTAATTTATGACACCGGTTAATAACACTATGCGGGCATTGGCCGATTCACCTCTCAAATCCAGGCTTTCTCCTCGCGAATAACACGCCCTCTGCATTCGTCGTGATCGCGGTTGAATCACACCGGTGACTAAAGGTGACGCGCTTTCCGTGAGGGAGGGGGGGGGGTCGAATGCCTCAGTACGTGCGGTGTTTTGCCACGGGTGGTAGGTTTAACATTTTTATCTCGCGTAATTCGTCCACATGCGCGTGCGTCTTGTGAGATTTTGAATCTTATAAATTTCATTTCGCGCGAGCAGCCGTCGTCGTTCATCTATCGACACTTGATTCGGGAGGATCTAAAAAACTCTTGTGCAACACATTCGACGATCGTTGGGACTCGCTCTTTCGTGCAAGATGCAGGTGAGCGTTTGAGTATAGTTTTTCTTTTTCTTTTTCTCTTTAGTTCCGACCGCTTTGACTGTGTAGATATGCACGCGGTACGGTGTCCTTTTAACGGGATCTTGTCTCGCAACTTGCCGGAGGAATTTTCCTCCCGCGCGAGAACGCATTCGTGAAAGAACGATGGAGGATACGCATGTTCAGTTATATCTTATAAATATGCAACAGCACGTATACATATACGTGTATATTCTAAAACCGGCTTTATCACTTGTGTCACCCGCGTAATTATTTACCGATGTTTCGCCATTCTTGAACGATCAAAAAGTCGTGTGATGAATCAAAGGAAAGTCATTAAATCCTGCAATTAGTTCCCCGACTAATGGGAAAGTCCGAGAGAATTTGAGATACATGTAAGCAGTTTTTCCCATATTTTGGAAGTACGAAGGAATTATCTCGTCCGACTTCTTTTCTTTTCTTTTTTTGTTTACAATAGAGATGTGCAAACTATTCGAATCCGAATTCCTATGATTCGAATCCGAATAATTTGAATAGGAATCAAATACATTATCGTTTGCGTGCATCAGTTACAAAAGGGGCCATCTGGGCCTGTATGTTTGAACCCTTAACTTGTAATTAACTTAACTTATAATTAATAACTTAATTATAAATTATTTTAAATAGTTAAATATATTTATATATTTATATATATATTTATATATTTATTTATATATTTATATATTTATTTATATATTTATATATTTATTTATATATTTATATATTTTTAATATATATATTTATATATTTATATATATTATTTATATATTTATATATATATATTTATATATATAATAATATTTATTTTACTTTAAGATGATATTACAATATCAATATTCTTTTTCATATTAAAATCTTCCATCATTATTTGCATGTTTAATAGTCATGTTAAATTTTTTAATGACTCGATTCGATTCGAATTCGAGTGAAATTTCATAGATTCGATTCGATTCGAATTCGAATTAAGAAAATGAGATTTAATTCGATTCGATTCGACATAAAAATTCTTGATTCGCACATCTCTAGTTTGCAAGCACTGACGAAATCACAGCCGATTATTTTGGATATTATATTTATTTTTCCGCATTTTGTTAGATGCTCGACGGTTGCTCAATTATTGGGATATTCGGTTCACATTCGGTTAATCTTCGATCGTCTAAATATTTTCTTTTTTTGTTTCTTTATATTATTCTATGCATAAAAACATAAAACTAAGGTTGACAAAGTAAATATTTTGTGAAATGTATATATGTGGTTTTTATACTGGAATATATCAAAATAAGATACGTAATATTTTCCGAAAGATTTATGTTTTCGTTAAGTACTTTAATGCTTTTCCTTTATGATGACGCTTTAATGATTTTAAAAGTAGGAATTAACGAGGAAAGTATACTTACTATGAAGAAAAGTATATTTCATTATCAAATAGATTTTTTCACTCGCTTGTTCTCATATTTCACATTGAATGTCGTCGACTGATCTTGCGTCGACATCTGTGTCAACTCACATTAATTTAATTACAAACTGCTTAATTACCGCTCAGTATTCACAAACTTGTGGTTAATCGAGTTCGATTTGTCATTGACACAAATTAAACGATAAATAGAGGAGGCACGAAAAATCGACACGTGTTGACTGGCATCATCGAGTGAAAATGGCATCTATTTTGAAACGAAAATAACATGGCGCATTTCTCATTTCGCGTTGGAAAAGTACGCGCTTCTCGTCGCAAAATTAATAAGAAACATCGATCGGCATACGAATAACATAACTTCACGCCAGCAAATTAATCGCGACATATTGAAATTCAATCGATCCACCCAAAAAAAAATAATTTCAGAACAAGCGGAATCATCTCAATTTTAGAGGATTTTACTCTTATATATGGCCTCGAAAGGATTCCTCTAGAATTAAGAGGAAAATATCATAAACATATTATTCTTAAAGTTAGAGCAATTATATGTTAGTATGTACGAGGGCAATCTGAAAAGTTCTCGGCCTGACACATAGATGGCATTAGAAACTGTTAAACTATAATTGTATTGGAAAGTGGCATCCCTGATATAAACCCATGTAAAATTTTACTTCGATCTGTCAAGTCATTCGAGTAGTAACACCAGTTTAATATTGATGTGTCATTGTCTTTTTTAAAATGGAAAAAATTGAATATCGCGCAGTGATTAAATTCTTTGTTTTGGATGGTTTAACACCAACAGAAATTCATCCGAAATTGTTAAAAGTGTATAAAGATGTATCACCTTCACTTTCCACTGTGAAAAAATGGGCTGTTCTTTTTAAATCTGGTCGCACAAGCCTCGAAGATGATCCACACGAAGGTTGTCTAAAAACTGCTACAACACCACAAAACATTCAACAAGTTCATGATATGGTGTTAGATGGTCGGCGAGTGAAAATGCATGAAATAGCTGAGGCATCTCAAAAGAACGAATTGGAAATATTTTGCATGAAGAATTACATATGAAAAAGCTTTGTGCAAGATGGGTGCCGCATTTGCTAACAATTGACCAAAAACGCATTCGAATGCGTATTTCTCAAGCGTGTTTGGATCGTTTAAGCAAAATAAAATGGATTTCAAGCGTCGTTTCATAACTGTTGATGAAACTTGGATCCACCACTATACACCAGAGCGAAAAGAACAGTCGAAACAATGAATTGAAGCCGGTGGACGTGCACCAAAGAAGGCAAAGACAGTTCCATCAGCAGGAAAGGTTATGGCAATAGTTTTTTGGGATTACAAAGGTGTTTTGTTGATCAATTATCTTCACAAAGATAAAATGATTAACTCTGAATATTATTGTAACCTTTTGGATCTATTGAATGCAAAAATTCGTGAGAAAAACCTGCTTTAAAGAAGAAAAGAATCGTTTTCCATCAAGACAATGCATGTGTTCACACAAGTGTTTTGACAATGGCAAAATTCAACGAATTAAAGTACGAATTGCTTAAACATCCAGCGTATTCACCAGATTTGGCTCTCTCTGACTGTTATCTGTTTCCAAACCTGAAAAAGTTCCTGGCTGAAAAATATTTTACATCAAATGACGAAGCTATTGCAGCCGTGGATGGATATTTTGCAGACTTTCCGGAATCACACTTTAATAATGGTATTGAATTACTGGAAAAACGTTGGAATAAATGTATTGAAGTTTTAGGAGATTATATTGAAAAATAAAATATATTTCACGGCAAAAAAAATGTTCTTTCATTGTTAGGCCGAGAACTTTTCAGACTGCCTACGTATATGGTAATGCAAATCTTATTGATTTTAATATAAATTTCCTTTTATATACAGATTATTTAATCTGTTTTTAAGAAGATTATTATTTATTCTTACTGTACTTTATTCTTGCTGGTTATTCTAGTTAATTTGAAAAAATTATTATAATATATAGCTAAAAGTAATATATAGTGTCCCATTTTATTTTTGACAGTCAAATATCTCGAAAAATATGGAAGATATGGAAAAATGTTTCAGATAAAAGTATGGTTTCAAGGGGGATATAAAATAGCTATAACATTTTGTTTATAGATGGCGTCACTTTCGAAATATTCACTAATCATTAATTTTCTTAAATGGAAATCCTAATTTTTTATTATACCATCTTTCTATCAATTAATTTGAACAACTTTTGTCTGAAACATTTTTTTATTTATCTAATATTTTTTTAGATATTTCAGGAAAACTTGATAACTTTTTCAATATTTAACTTACGATATCTCGCTAACTGTATATTGGAAGAAAAAATGGTACTAGACTTTCTATTTGGCCTCAAAAATATATTGTTACAATAGCGCCCAAACTTTTGTTAACTTATCGACTTTTGGAAATTTCAAAATCATCAAATGAAGACGCATCTTTATGTATTTATGCTACTATCTTAATTCTCGGATTCAGTCTCTATGCAGACAATCTGCTGAAATTGGTCTATCTGGAACAATATTGATTTCGCATTTCGACACGCTAGCAGGAAAAGAGACAAAGAAAAAGAAGCGAATGCGAGCACGATCAGCTGGCAGTCGAATAAGGGTGAGCCGAGTGCGAGTCAGGACGCGTCGTGTTTTTGGAGCCGATCGAATCGACCTCGTTCACCCTAGGATCCAAGGGCCCGCAGGACGGGACGGCGAGCAGGAAGAAGAGAGGGCGAGGTATAAATAAGGGGGCCAGATGGAGTATCCTATTCGCGCGGTACGCGGCTGGCGGTTAGGCGCGCGTAAACCGTGACAGAGGAGGACGCGCGATGAGAGGAAAGAGCGCGCGGAATCCCTTCGGTAATGACGGCTACCACAACGATGACGAGATCGCTACACGTCGGTGGTGGTCGTGGGCGATGATATGGTAGTAGTGGGGAAGCAGGGTGGGTAGAGAACATTTAATTTGAGCTTGCGAGGAAGTAGTTGATTGGAGACGCGAGGTACGGTCGTGCTGCAGTTGCAGCTCGGCTGTCGGTCCCGTCGGTTTACCTTCCGGGGAGATCCCCGTCTCGACATCAGCGATAAAGAGAGAGAGAGAGAGAGAGAGAGAGGAAGGGAGAGAGAGAACGAAAGAGAGAGATAACGAGGACATCTCCTCGATATCTCGCAATTGATTACGCGCAAAACAAGCGAATCTACTCGGGGCCGCGAAATCACGTGTAACGTGTCGTAAATAAACGACATACGCGGTCGACTGTCGGGTGTCACGTCGTAGATTTGTAAATTCGCCGCTTATCAGACAGGTATGTGAATACAGCCGCGACTAGATCGCCCGGTGCAAACTTGTGTACAGTCCACGACGACGGTCGCATGTCGAGCCCGGGATCGAGTACAGTTCGAGTGCGGGTACTTCCTCTCTTTCGGAGTCTTTCGGAGGGGTCTTTTGCACACTTTTGAGGACACGGTCGGCGCGGTGAGACAACATCCGAACTCGACGTTGAGACTCCGCCGAGACCTGCGCTCTTCTTATTCGCTCGGGGTCCTTGATCGGCTTGGGCGACCTTAGAGTCGCAAGAAGTCGCGACGAGACCGAAGCAGAAGAAATCAGTGACCTTGCCTAGACAAGCTCGATACGAAACGTCTGCGATCGTAAGTGCGCGAATTTCGAGTTGTTCTTTTCTGGTCACGAATGTGACGCAATTTAATTAATACATGTAAAAACCGGGCAAAGCAGTTTAACTCTCGTACTGCTGATTGTCGCGGGTTGTAATTAGAATCGCATCTGTTTGTATATCGTATTTATATCTCTCCTTTCCTTTCATTTCGCGCCGTGCGAAATGAATTAAATGCAGTGATAAATTGATTGCAGTTTGGGATTGATAAATCGCCTCAACGGCGAGGATAAAGCCGTACGTCTTATTTTATTATCAAACAAGTGGAAGTGAAGATATTTCATTAAAACGTCACATTTATCTGAGTCGTGCTAATACGATAAAACGGGGAGGAACGCGGCTTATTATCATTATTGGAGCATTACGACGCGCCCAATTAATCAATATTTAACTTCACATTTCGTGGGAATATTAATGAGGCAGCAGTGGAGAAAAATAATTGAAAGATAATGCGATCGGGAGCACTACGCTTGATGATGCGAGTGTAAGCCCCGAGTGCGACAGATAAATCTTATCATTATTGTGCACACGCGTACCTTTTCTTCCGAAGGATAACGATAGTTCTATTAGTGTATATGCAGGCTCGACATTATATGTGCGTTATAGATCATTATAGATTCGCAGATTGCATTCGTTATCAATCCGCAAGCCGATATCACACACTCGTCTTGCAATCCTTTTTCCAATGCGATTCTACACGGTTAATGCAACAGTCATCGCCAGTCTCGTTGCCAGATCAATATCGTCCTCGCTTGACGTATGAACAATTAACAGGACCATTAGTCGAGTCTACGAGTCGACTTTCTCACCACGAGCGCAGCCACGTGAGTCTCGGCGATCATTAATTTCAATTTCGCGAGATCGTTCGCACGCGATGCCAAAGATGCCGGTCGTTCTCCAGAACGATTTCGGCTGCTTACCTGTTGAGTCCATCGACCCCGTGTCGGTGGACTACGCGCGGGAAAACCTCCTACCTTTCACCTTCTCTCGCGAATAATTCGCACATCAAGCCGAGGTCGGGGAATCGAGAAAAAGCGACGCGCAAAAAGCCGCAGGAACGCATCGTCGGATACAACGTAATTCGCCGCGTTACCCGAACTCCCTCGGTGTGTTGTCCAAGGGGCAGAGGAGGTCGGCGCGATCGTTTTCCCCCCTTAATTATTTCATAGTGGATGACCGAGTTGCGAGCTCGAAAGTGCACCACGTCCCCTCCGAAACGCGGATATGTTATTATCATGTTTCAGGACGCGCGCGCCCGCTAATCGATCCTCCGCAATCTACGACGCCGCGCCGTTCCGTTCGTCGGCGGATCTTCCGCCGAGATTACCGTCTCGGTATTGTTATCCCTAAGACGAACGAAAGATCATCTGGATCCGCCAGATTCGTAGGAAATTACCACTGTAATTATAGACTAGAGATGTGTGAATCAAGAATCTTTATGTCGAGTCCAATCTCATTTTCTTAAATTAGAATTCGAATCGAATCGAATCTATGAAATTTCATTCGTATTCGAATCGAATCGAGTGAAATCGAATCGAATCATTAAAAAATTTAACATGACTATTAAACATGCAAATAATGATGGAAGATTTTAATATGAAAGGGAATATTGTAATGTCATCTTGAAGTAAAATATATATTTAAATATTTAAAATAATTTATAATTAAGTTATTAACTATAAGTTAAGTTAATTACAAGTTAAGGGTTCAAACATACAGGCCCAGATGACCCCTTTTGTAGCTGATGCACGCAAACGATAATGTATTTAATTCCTATTCGAATTATTCGGATTCGAATCATAGAAATTCGGATTCGAATCGAATTCGAATAGTTCGCACATCTTTATTATAGACTTCCTCCGTGAAACTCGTGAGCGCGGCTGGGCGAGCTGAGTATCCTTACGAGACTGAGAGATTTTCCTGTCGAACAATTTTTCGAATCCATCTAAATCGTCGTGCGCGCTGATCTGTTGTTGAAAAGGAAAAAAGACAGAAAGAGAAAGGGGAAAATTATGTCGGTGACTTGGACGCGTCAAACGGGTCGAGGTAGGCCGTAAAAGGAAGCTGCGGACGTGTCCAACAGGTGGTCGAAATAATTTCTTGCAGCGACCGTCGGATAATGATAGGGAATGCAGGGATAATGTTTCTTTCTGTTTCTCCGCGGGCAATAATGATTCACGATCGTAACGAGCGTTTTCGTTTTTTTTTTCGCTCCTTCTCTCCCTGCTCTTCTCACCTTGCGCGAATGCAGCCAGAAAGTGCGTCCCGTTTTTCGAAATTTCTAAAACGCGCGCATTCTTCGGTGGACGCAGCAATCGGGTGTAAAATACCACCGATGTAAGAGAAATAAGCCAATAAGGCATAAGGACGCCAGTTGCTAATTATTCGCTAATTATAACATATTTTTCATATCAAGAGACTAAGCGCATCGGGCTTGTAATAAATTTGACGTTTAACGTTCCAGCTGACATTTCCAATGCTCTTTATATATAGCATAATCAAGATAAAATCCTAATAAACCAAAACCAACGATAACAATGATAAGATGATAACGCAACGCAATAAATATCGTGTGCATGCTCAGGTCGAAAGTTATCATCGTCTTGTCTTTTAACGACAACGTGCAAGTTGTCTCCCCGCGCCGCAAGTTCGAATCATGCGTGAACCAATCGCGAAAAACGTGTCATACGCTTGACTTCTTTTCCGAATCCCATTGTTTTAACTGTGAATTTAACCGTAGGCCTCAAAGGATAGATTGCGCTTGAGTCAGAGACTAAATCAGACTTTGCAGAAATTTGCATTATTGAAAGGAAATAATAGAAAAGAAAATATATTGTTTAATTGTCTATCGTTGGAAAGAACAAAGGAGGAGAAGCGATCGGATGATTAATACGTTCTTTTTCTCTTTCTCTCTTTGCCTCGTATTCTCTTTTGTCTTTCTTATAGTGCCCCCTCTTACCGGTACTGTGTGATAGAGAGAGAACGAGAGAGAGAGAGAGAGAGAGAGAGAGAGAGAGAGAGAGAGAGAGAGAGAAAGAGAGAACGAGAACGCACTTCTTTTGTTCAACGTGTCTCTATCCTTCACTCATTCCTTAAAAGTACGCGGTCTACCTTTTTCGGTTTACGGTTTTAACGTCGCTACTTTCCACATGTTGCTGGACCTACGCTGGTCATCCGTCTGCCTTCCTTTCTGGGTGTAGAGTTGGATTTCACGACTTTTCACTACAATGTTAGAACGTCGACATGTGACATGTGTTTCTTTCGGCTGGTGCACACATTGAATATATGATGGTAATAAATTATTAATTATACTTGTCTACGATAAAAAGAATATCTCTTTAGCGATTAATGAGATGTTAAATATTTGATACGTGATTATCGATGCAGACATTGCTATAACATACTGGATAAAGCAGCCGGCTAATGTTTCAGTATATGACGTGATTCAATTATACAAGGTGTCCGGGATCTTCTGGAAATAAAAAATTGATCAAACTGGGAAGAAAAATTAAGTACCATTTTGCAAAAATCGCAATACTTACCAAGTTATTAATGATTGAAAACAATCACATTTAAAGGCTCTTTTAATTGATAACTTGAAAATTTGCCTACTTATTTGCAAAATGGTAAAGGACTTTTTTATTCAAATTTTCAGGTTATTGATTAATAAAGCTTCTAGATGTGGTCATTTTCAATCATTAATAACTTAACAACTATTGCGATTTCGGCGAAATAGTACGTGACTTTTCTCCTCAATTTGATCTGATTAATCTTCACAAATTTTTCTTTCCAAAAGATTCCGGACACCCTGTATTCAGTTTCTCGGACCGAACTATAGATTTATCAATGTATAGATCAACCACAGGATTATGTGTTGTGGAAACTATATCTGAAAGAAATATAGGGTGTAGGATATCTCAGCCACAGGATCTTCGTCTACCTCCGCCCTTGTTTACAAAAAGAGCTAGATAACGATAGTACACCTGTGGACAATAAAAAGTCCCTTACCATGTAACTGCTCTTTGTATTTTGTCTTCAAACCTTTTATATAAGAAGACGCAGTTTACAAGTCTACAAGTCTAGGAATTGAACAACGTGTTAGTAATGGCAGATCGCTTTACAATAAAACGCACGTCGTGGGCGTTCTCGTATGCGGTTTTGCGGTGGAAAACCGATGCTTTCTCGCGCAGCTCGCACGAGAAAAACTCGTATTGCGTGATTTGATTGCGGATCTATCGGCTGTCATATGAGATCGGATAATATTCTATTCTATATTATATATAGAGTGACTTAGACCAACTTACTGTTCTTGAAGCAACATGTTCTTGAATGAGTTCTAAAACGAGTTCTAAAAAATATTTTTTCTCTTGCCAAATGTCATTCGAAGCTTAGTTTTTGAATTGTAAAAATAAACAATTTATCTGCTACGGATCCGATATAGTAAGAGGCAGACAGGAATGGCACAATTCGCTGTCAGATGCAAGTGCTGACGTTGATGCGATGAATTTATCGATGCATGTGATAATAACATGTGTATAATAATATAATACGTATCGTTGTTATAATTTCCATTCCTGATTGCGCGTATCGTATCGAGTGCTGCGAAAGAGATCTGCGAAGCCGACACGCATTTCTTTCCTACATAAACACGTATGATTGCATAGAAATGTAATGGTTGTCTGACACGAACGAGTTAATGCGATCGCCAAATAGCAAAGATTAATGCAATCGTAATAACGAATTAAAAGTGTTTTAAATTAGGATACGATTATAACGTTTAAAGATAAAATACTCGATTACGCGAGCTTTCTCATACTAGAAAATAAACTTTCTTTGTAAGGTACCAATTTTATGAAATATGTGTTTCTCAATGAATAACATCTATTCAACAGAATAACATTGCATGATATATAGGCAAAATTTTTTCATCTATATATTACATGACTTTTCCAAAGATGATGCAAAAGGCCAAGAAAT